AATGTAATCAAATCAGAGTTTATAAATATGTCTAGGCAGAACAGAGGGAAAGCCATCACTCTCACACCTCGGGGCTGTAGAGGTCCCCTGAGGGAGATCCRTTTCTGGCTATCACCTGAAGCGAATGTGGGGGCAATTTCTTGGAGGCTCTGGCATTCGAGTATTCAATGCTGCTGAGAAACACCCAGAAACCAGACCCCCTTCCCTCCTACCTGAGCCTGACTCCATTCAAAACACTCTGTCTAGCTTGGTGGACCCTCTTACATATTTTATTTTAATCACTCTGGAAATACTAAACAAACAAACAAACAAAACAAAACAAGCCCAACTACAAAAGAGCAAGGCTTTTTCATGACAGTAGGATCAGTGGCTCTCCCTGACTGCTGGGGCAGGAGTGCAGGGCCCCTGATGCCCTTGTCACACACCTGCCACATTCTGTGTGAACATGTCAAACTGGCAAGCGTGCTCGATTAATCACCCAGCCTGAGAATCTACGAAACAAAGTTCACATTACCCAGAGAGCTGCACGAAGGGCCCTCTGAGGTCGGGATGCAAGACCAAACAGAATTAACGTGCCTGCCACATCCATCATTTTGTAATCTGCTTCCAGTTCTATAATYCCCCAACATCCGGACTGTGCATACCAAGAACATTCCTCACCAACGCAGACCAAAATGGCTCTTGTACAAAGGGCTCTGGCCGCCCTCCCCAGCCTAAAAACACCATTAGCCATTTCTACAAGTCAGATGCCTCTCGACTACAGGCTTCTGCTCAATGTGGCGAGGGACTTAGAAGGTTTGATAAATCTTTCACGAGTGGTTCTTCACACACTATACATATACAATTTGATTTGACCTAAGAACAAGAAATCCATTGTTAATTTTCCAGCAATATACTAACAGGGAAGAGATCATGTAACAGAAAAGGGACACTACAACTATCACTCACCAAACTGTTTCACCATGACTTCCAAAGAACAGGTGTTCAGAAAACAGGAATAAGTAGGTTAATCCTAATGATTATGATTTTAAGATGCACTTAAAATCACTTACTGYAGAGATGGTCCCTGACTCACAATGGCTGGACTTAATGATTTTTTGACTTTACAAAAGTATGAAAGCAAATCCACATGAACACTCTGGTTTTCACTTTCAGCACAGTATGTAGCACATTACATGAGCTAGCCAATACTTTATGGTAAAACAGGTTTGTACTAAAGGATTTGCCCAACTGCAGGCTAATGTAAGTGTTGAGCTTGTGCAAGTTAAGCAACGCTAAGCTCTGATGTTTGGTAAGCTGGGGAAATTAGCCACACTATTGACTTAAGGTATTTTCAASTTATGATGGGTTTATAGRGACATAACCCATTCTAAGTTGAGAATTTTCATGGAATTACTTCTCATTTTCATTTCAGAACATGTTCTGAGTATCTCAAGGGAAACACTATTACCTGTTTCTTTTAGGAGAAAAGGAGATTCAGAGATACTGGGTGAGGGGACTGAGGTTACATAGCTTATGATTGGGAAGTCCACATCACACTCTGGTTTCCTGGTTGATGCTATTTTTCAAGATCTTATGCTATGAACCTCCTAATTCTCACAAGTACTTTACCGTAAAGATTTCACCACCAAATTATTTTATGMTATAAATACTCTTATTCTCTCAAATACCTTGTCACATTCACATCATTTGATTATTGTTACCGGAGCTGTTCATTTCAAAGTATACATCCCTAGATTCCTAAAGGAATGAGAAGTTGGACAACCAGGGCATTTTATGTTCTGAGCATTTATAGCCCTGATGTCTGAAAGGAAAATTTTTAGTCATAAACCTGAGAAGTTTAGTTACAAGTTTTACTTATAATCTTATTTAGGAGTAAGAATACGGACAACRTTATCTTTTGGAAATTTAAACACTAGGCTCAATTCTGTGAGCTAATAGTGTCCACAGGAATAGTGGACAAGAGTGGTCTAAGAGTGACACCAAAATACACATTGATGTTAGCAACATTAGAAGTTGTTCTTAAGTTCAAAAGAGGAAAGGATATGGGTGTGGTTGCTGGCCATAGGGTTTTGCTATAGACTGAATGTTTGCATACCCATATAATTCATGTTAACCAGGTGGTGAATTCCTGTAGTCCTAGAAACTTGGGAGGCTGAGGCAAGAGGCAAGAGGATCTCAAGTTCAAGGCCAGCCTGGCTAACTTTGTGAGACTCTGTCTTGAAAATAAACAAATTAGCTAACAATTAAAAAAATGCTGGTGAAGTAGCTCTGTGAAAGAATACTTGCATGTGCAATGCCTTGGRTGCAATCCTCAGAACAGAAAAAAAAAAATCACATGTTGAAGCCAAATCTCTAATGTGATGGCACTGGGAGGTGACAAAACCTTGGGAAGGTGATCAGGTCCTAAGGGTAGARCCCTCAGGAATGGGATTTAATGCCTTTGTAAAAGAGCCTCCAGAGAGCATCCTTGTCTCTTCCAACATGAGGTTGCAAACAAAAGACAGCTGTCTACGAAGCAGGAAGAGGCCCTCACTAGACACTGAATTTTGTGACACCTTCATCTTAGACTTATCAGTATCCAGATCTGTGAGATGAAAATTTCTTTTGTTTATTAGTCACCCAGTCCATGGTATTTTGTKATAGTAGCCCAAACAAAGACATTTGAAGCAGKAAGGCTTTGATTCAATAAAATATAGCTAATGAGTTCTTGTGCCACGCAAGAACTGTGCACATATAATTTCATTTAATCCCTCTGTAGCCGTCTGAGGTTTTCTATCCCCATAAGTGAAGACTGGGGATCATTAAATTGCTTCCTGGAAATAATGCACACAGTTATGTGACAAAGCTGAGATCCAAAGCCACACACATCTTATTTCAACTATCCCAAAATGTGCCACTGATACTTGGAAATCTGAATAATTTCAGCCTTCTCATCCCTCCTTAAGGGCTAGCCTCCTAAGTTCATTCCTGAAACAAGAAAATATGAAATTATTTCAAAATGAAAGGTACAAAAAGTCAGGCTATTATTAGTCATTGCCTCTAGTGAGAAAATAGACACCTGAGGGAACAGGAAATAGGTTTCAATAGGCTGAAGAAGGTGATRAAGTTGGGGTACAGAAGAGGGCAGGGGAGGTAAAGGTCTTGTGCCCTGCTGTGAGACACCCGAGAGAGGRCAGAGGAGAGGGTTCTGCTTGGCAACCATTCTGTCCTCAGTCAACAAACACTGACTCCAAATCTTCTCTGTGATGAGCCACACTGCAGGCCTCTAGACATTGCTGTAGGAGCACTGGGGACTGACTCCCTGGGAGGATTAGTGGACACTTTCCACAAGTGTCATTTGCTGGGGTCTCAAACAATGAGGGAGGATTCTCTTGGTGGAAAAGGGAAGGCAGCAGAGACAAAGCATGCTTCCAAAGGCCTGGAGGTCAGAGAGACTGTGACATGTGCTGGACGTGGAAGATAGATATTTACCATGGGGTACATGGTGACAGGGCGGTGGCAACAGTGAGATGGTGTGCAGGAGGTGAGCAGGATTCTGATCAGCCAAYGGCATGACCTGTGTTCTGTATGTCGTGGGCAGCCAAAGGCTTTTTGGCAGGGAGTGACAAGGTCCGCAATAAGATCACTTGCATGGTCCCGAATGACAGACYAGGGAAAGCCAGGCAGGTAGTGAAGAGGCCAGCTGGGATGAGCTGCATTGGAGGAATCCTTGCTGCTCCAAGGCCCTTTGTGACACTCTTGTCTATCACTCCATTTCACAAGCGATAAACCAAGGTCCAGAAAGGTTAAGAGACTTGCACAAACCTATCCAGCCCTGGAACACCAGAGCGGGGACCAGAATAAAGATCTGTGAGCTGCCGAAGGATGCCCTCCTCCTGTCTAGACAACCAAAGAAAACAAGAGGCCTAGAGTCTGGATTCTGTAMGAGTGGCTTTAAGGTTATCTGCTTGACACAACAATCAAAGGCTAGAAGATAACAGTAGGTGAAAGAGGGAAGCAGATTTTCCACTGTTTTGGGATTTCTGCCTTCGCATAGACTAGGAACTAGCAATGGTGACACAGCTTGGTTAAAAAAAATAAGACAAACACAGAGACCAGGGTATTGAGGGAATGGGCACAGSAACTTTATACATCAACCAAAGTGATCAGATTCAGTCTGTTTGCACAAACTGAAACTCAGAGACATGAACAAAGTCCTTTTGGAGCCATGCAGATCAATTCTTTCCTAAGAGCAGATAGTCACTGCTTGACTATGTTGTCTAAAAAAGAAATCCTGTTGGTAAGAAAGTATTTCCTTCACATACTACTATTCATAGAGATGCTCACCCCAAAGAAACTAGAATGATTCCCACAGTCACTTTTAACTGAGATCCTATGCCCAACACCTGCCCCTGGACTCTGAAGACACAGATTGTTCTGTATTCCAGAAAAATGAGACTTTTAAGGAAGCAGAGCTCTCCCGTAGCCTTCTCCCGTAGCCATTTCACCCCCAAGAGGAGGATCTACACACAGAATCTATTTTCACAGTAGAAATGGATTTTATGACATCTACACTTTTCCCAAGGGGYCTTGAACTTCCCATCTGAGCATGCAGCATGATGTGTGTGAGAAGGATCTCAGAGCTGCCACGTGGGCAGAGGGCCTTCCTTGGGATGTGATGCAGAGTGAGTCCCTGATACCTAGAAGGTATCTGCACTCTTCATAACTGCACTTCACATTGTGCACACCAACCCATGAARAGAAACACAGCACATTATGTCTCCAATTGGTCACAGATGGGAGAAAATCAACCACAATAATAAATTCACGGAGGTGGAGTGTGTCGTCACACACGGAGCCAGGATGTGTGATCCAGAAGGTGTGTGTGGGGGAGTGAATGCCATATGTCGTTTGACTGCTGTGGGCCCGCTCTCATGTCCTAGCAGTGTATTCTTCCCAAATAGCTCTGATGCCATCCTTGACACCACTGCCCTCTGCCAAGCCTACATGCCTCTTACCAGGTACTGAAGTCGCTGGCGCTCCGTCTCRGGGGTGAATTCCGAAGACATGGGGATGATTTCTCCATTTCTGATGATTATGGCCCTGAAATAGTGAAAATGCATTGTCAGCAGCCAATTTCATAAGTATTGTGATGAAGATCAACCATGGTGTGGTTCGGGTCACACACAAAATGCCAGGACCGGCTTTCTCCTCCCACCTGTGCTGCAATTCTGGATCCCCTGTGAGGTTGGAGGTATCTCTGTTTTTAAGTGCACTGCATTCTGGTCAGCTTATGATTACTTTGATTACTTTTTCTGCTGGCTGGCACTATTGCTTTAATGCTTGGCACCAAGCATATTACTTAGCACACCACAAATACTTGGTGAATAAATGGATGGGAATAAATAGTGAATAAGTGAATGGTGAATAAGTGAATGGTGCAGAGGCTCACTCTAGTCCACGGTTATCTGAAAGGACCTTCTGTGATCATGGTAACACCCTCACACCATCACTCAGGGGTGCTATATCACTGAGTTACACCCATAACTCTTTATTTTATTTTTAGATAGGACCTCACTAAGTTGCCCCTGGTAGGCCTTGAACTTGGAGATCCTTCTGCCTCAGCCTCCACAGTTGCTAGGATTATAGGTGTGTGTCACTGCACCTGGATGGTAATATTCTTATCTGTGGAGTCCGTCATTGAAATAAGTGACTACTGAGCATTTGAATTGTGGTTAGTGAAGTCAAGGAATTAAATTTCTGACATTATTTAATTTTAATTAATTTAAGTAGTCCCCGGTGGCTAGTGTTCAATGTAGTGRATGGTTCAACTTCAGACCCTTGTTATTCAAAGGATCAATGGGCCAGGAGCATTTGGCCTTACCTGGGAAATTGATAGCAAGGYAGAATCTTAGATTCCCCACCCCAGACTCTCATCAGGTAGTTCATAAGCACATTAAAATCTGAGAACATCTGGCCTAGATCTTGAGCATCCTTGGTAATATCCTAGATCCAGAGATAGCCACTCTCATCTTGTCTCAAGGATCAGAAAATTCACACTCTCCAGAAAAATGTGCTCAAGAGCTATTGCCCACTCAAGGACTTCTGAGAGAAGAGAGCTCCCAAAGCTGATGTCTAAAAGAGAGGCTGCAGGATCGATAACCATGAAGCAACTTTTCTTGGATCTGGTCCCAGAGGTGCCTCCCATTTTCAGACCTTCTGATTCTGAAGTGGCTCTTGACAGCCACTTTATAGCCACCGATCCATCAGTTGTGGCAGAAGGCTGTCGTTTTTGTGACAAATAGAATTGGCTTAGGGAACTGCATTTTATACCATCTGAACAACTCCCTGGCACCAGGGACCCAGAGACCTGAGACCTGACTCACTTCTTAGTGAGGACCCATAGACGTGGGAGATGCCTTCCATGATTTCAGCTCTGGTGGATGCCTCATTGATTCTAGGGCATGCTGCTTCTTTGTGCTATAAAGCCCACAGGCACCTCTCTCCTGACCTGGAGAGGCAGTCTCTTTCTTGAAAGCAGTCCCTAACTTGGAAGCAAACCCTATAATGGTTCCAGCTATGACAACCCTGCTCCTAACCCTGACTACCTGTGCCCCAGTTGCTGCTATCATAGAAACTGGTGTGGGTGTAGGCAGGGGAGGAGATGACAGTGAAAATCTTGGGGGCTTTAGAGCACTGAGGGCTCCAGAGGTAGAAGTTTGAGAAAATGGAAGTGTAGGGAAGCTAATTCTRCAAAAAAAAAGACGCCTCTTACTGTAATATTCTTTATCCCTTCTATTATTATACTGCCTAAAATGTGACAAATTTGATTCCTTCTTATAAGCCCACAACCACTTATAAAATGCAACCCCCTCACTCGCAACCCAAAAGATGATATTCACCATTCACAAATCATGGGAGTTGATTCACATGGTCACTGTCCTAATTATGAGCTGAGATTTACTACCAAAAATAGACTAAGGGTTTGACAGAGGATGGAGAAACTTGGAGAATTTGAAAGGGTACCTGGAGTCCGGAAGGTCTAGGTGAAGGCCTTGAGATCCTTGGAGCTGGGTTGAAAGTTATGTCATACATTCCAAAGGAGTCTTTTCTTTCAAAGGTTTGCTTCAAGCTAGTCTTACTTTGTTTTTTTTTTTTTTTCTTTTTTTCTACATGATCCCTAAATTTCAGCTGATTGCTGGGTATAGAGTAGGAAAGTGAGACACCCCAGAAGGAAGCAAAAGAGGATGAAGAAGAGAAAGGAAGGGAAGTCAGAGGTTGGGGTGTCCCAGACCCAGGAGAGAGTGATCTGATCACCACACAGCCTGGCCCACTGGGACAGAACCCACAGCGTTCCACCAGGCCACGGAATCAGGACCTGAGTGTCAGGAGGTCAGGGGCTTCTTGTTCCTGAATATTCCAGATATTGAGTATCATGTCTGTCACATAGCAAGAGCCCCATGAATATTGGCTAAATGAAAGAGAAGATGAGATGAGAGAACTTGGGAGACACTTTCTTGAACTTCAGGCAGGAGGAAAACAGAAACAAGAGGCAGCAGAGGTTCAGTTAWATAATGTGAGATGGACTTCACAGAGAGGAGAGGACTTTGCCTGGAAAATCTACCTGCTCCCCAAGCCATCTTCTYTTCCTGACTAGGGCTAGTTTGTCCATTACTCCTCACCCCAGAATCCTCCCAACATCAGTATTTCCATTTTTCTCTCCACTGGATGGATATCTGCCTATAGTGCAGAACCATGCTCTAGAACACTTTGTATGTATATGCTGGGTCTCTACTTCCTTGCTTCCCATTGATCCCTCAAACAGTGGCAGATTCATATYCTGCCTCTCTGTCCACCCAGCTGCTATCACAAGAATCATCAAATGACTCCCCTGTTGCTACGTTTACTGGGAAAAAAAATCATCATTCTGATCTCTCTGGTAGCATTTGCTAAATCTCTCCCAAACTGGCTCCGGGGGATCTCTTCCTCCTGGTTTTCCTTCTACCTCCTAGGACACCTTTGGTGCTGAGGATGACTATGTCTCACTACCCTCATACCCTGGGAAATCTAATTTCTTAGCCCCAAGGTTAGGTTCAACTCATCTCTTACATTTTTCCTTAGCCTGGTATTTTTCCTAGTATGGAACATGTCACATTTTGGAACTGAGGACTTGTCTGCCTTCCATGCTAGTGCATAAGCTCCTAAGGCAAGGACGATGTCTGACTTGACCAAGAGTGTAGCCCCACCACTGTGCACAGTACCAGGCCATTGTAGGCAGGACTAGCTATACTACCTCAGGGTCCAGTGCAAATATATATATGCAGGACCCCTTGTTTAAAAATTGAGAGTTTCAAGATAGAAATGATAGGACACTAAATGGAATGTGGCTTCCTTTGGAGAGTGGGGTACTGCATGACTATACAGATCACATTCTCACAAGCTGGCTCTCCTCACAAAGCTGGCCTTGATAGTATTCCCTTGATATTGGCTCAATGAGCTGACTTCAACAATCACATATGCCAATGATTTCAGATCAACTTCCCAATCAGCACGCTTCTGTTGTGCTCCAGCATGGACCAGCCAGTTACCAACAGATATAGCCACTTGGATTTTTGCAGGAATTGCAGACTTAGTGTAGTGTTCAAATTGATGATGCTGGGGCTGGGGATGTGGCTCAAGCGGTAGCACACTCGCCTGGCATGCCTGCGGCCTGGGTTCGAACCTCAGCACCACATACAAACAAAGATGATATGTCCACTGAAAACTAAAAAATAAATATTTAAAAAAAATTCTCTCTCTCATTCTCTCTCTCTCTCTTAAAAAAAATTAAAAAAAAAACACAAACAAATTGATGATGCTGTCCCCACCACCCCTTCAAATTGGACTTCTAGAATTCCCAACCTCAGGGAACAACACTATTTTACACCTAGTTGCCTGTCTCTCACCCCACATGTTCAAATAGGCATCCAATCCTGTAGATTTCACCTTTTCAGTTTTTAACATAAATCTCTTTCCATGACTCCTACTATTGGTGCCTTGTTTCCAGTTTCCATCAGAGACTGCCTGCAGGACTCAGGAGCTCTCCACAGTCCTCACACCTCTGAGAGTAGAGTGATGGGTACATTTGTGATGGGCACATTCAAAATCTTCTCTTATTAGCTATTTTGAAATATACAATTAAATGTTCTCAACTATAGATCTTCTATAGAACATTAGAAGTTATTCCTCTTCCATCCTCTTCCACCCTTCCCGACCTCCCTAACCACGATTGTATTCTCTACTTCTATGAGAYTGGTATTCTCTACTTCTATGAGATTGATTTTTTTGCTTCCACACATAAGAACATGCCACAAGGTGATTTTAAAGCACCACTGTCACTTGCCACATCCCCAAACTAAAGCCCATTGCTGGTTTCCCATTCTCTACTTCTATGAGATTGATTTTTTTGCTTCCACACATAAGAACATGCCACAAGGTGATTTTAAAGCACCACTGTCACTTGCCACATCCCCAAACTAAAGCCCATTGCTGGTTTCCCAGACCTTCCGAGTTCCTTCACTATCTGGTTCTTGCCTGTATTTCTGTCGCCTCACTCTTGCTACTCCTTTCACATCTACTTCTCCCTTCTAAAAGCCAACCTACTCCCCTCTAAGCCAGTTCAGAGGGCCCTCCCTTGTCCTTCTGAGCTGCTGTGGATGCCCCTTCTCTGTGACGACATGGGGTGTCGTCATAGCTCCACCATAGCCCTTACAAACCTTGGCTGCAATGGCTGGCTTCCAAACTTGTCTCTAACTACCCTGAGGATATTTTCCAGGCAGAGCCCAAGTCATTGTCTCAGATCTCCAACGCTCAGTGTTTGGCATGTGGCAGACATGCAATGGGTGTTTGCTGAGGAGGTAAGTGATGGAGTGGGTGCCAATGAGCTGGTCTTGGGTGGTCAGCGCAAGTACCAGAGACTCAGGCCGTAAACAAGACTTTTCTTAATAACAACATTATTAACTGTAGAGAGTCTGAGTCCTCAAAAACACATACAAATTTCCACTGGTTGTTGGAAAAAGACAACAGGCCTAAGAGAATGTCATTGCTGAGAAGTGACTTGAAGG